ATCTTGATAGTAATATTGTTGACAGAACTTTTCCTTTTTGATAATTCAAGATTGTACCTGTATCCTATTAAATAATGCTATTCATATGATGAAGTGATTCATATGACGAAGTGATAATAATGATAATGATCTATGATTTTCTATATATATATAATCAAAGGCGCTTTACATTGAGTTGTGAATTTCAGATTGCTTTTCTAAGGAATTTACGATCATGAGTACTGAGAAAAACCAGATTTTATTCATTGATGCATTATAGTAGGACCTCTATGAAGCGACCACCCGGAATGGATTACTCTACGATACAGCAGCCATCTTGGATTACGATAGTCTACCGCGGAGCCTTTCTTAGTGTCGTCACGCGAAACTAGGATTGCAAGGCATTATAGTAGGACCTCTATTAAGCGACCACCCGGAATGGATTACTCTACGATACAGCAGACATCTTGRATTACGATAGTCTACCCCGCAGCCATTCTTAGTGTCGTCACGCGAAACTAGGATTGCAAGGCATTATGGGGGAACAAAACAAAGATGGCGAATAATATGTGGAGTTTCGTGTTTGTTTTTCTGTGCCGTCTTTGGTTGGATAAATATTGGTGACATAAAGAAATTATATGTATTATTAAGTCTTACATTAGCAACTCTTCGCATGAAAATCCAGTTGAATCTGTAATTCAACTGTGCCTTGACTTAGATCAGCCCAGAAGCTGTTCTGTTCACTGTTCAATCTGTGAGTTAGTCRTGCCCTGAATACGATCAGCCAAGAGGTTTTTAGTTCAGGGTTATATCAGTGAGTTAGCCGTGCCCTGACTTACATCAGCCCAGAGGTTGTTTCAGGGGTTCTATCTTTGGTTAGCCATGCCCTGACTTGCATCAGCCCAGAGGTTGATTCAGGTCCAAGAGGTTTAAGAGCTTTAAGCTCAATTTTTGTTATGAAATACCGTCACCCAATCTTTTTCGAACCAGGCGTATTTTATTCATTCTCCATTTTCTATAATTAATTACGWCTATTGATCATTCCTTAAAGGTTCTTCAAAATGTCTGCAACCAAGGTAGCCGGCCACACTGTTTGCTACACWAGCTTATAAAATTCTATTCTTTTCAAATATTGATGTAACTGAAGTAGGGTTTGAACGACAACCTTAAGCCCCTGCCATGATGGAGGACAGCAAGACTCTTCTATTCTCAGRGTGCAAGTAACGTCATAGCCGCCATGTTGGTTGACTATACAAAGSATTCCTCTTTGGCTTCTCGTTAGATCAACCAACATGGCGGCTGTTTTATCGTTATTTACACCTCAAGGGATTTTGAGTCAGGTGGGTTGCACCCCAAGAAATACTTGAAAGGATTTTACTGTTGCTTTCATCCAAYATGGCTGCCGGCACTTGATTGTGCACACCTTGCGTGTAAACCTTATTTAGAGAATGTGGAATGTTCTATGTAAAAGCCATTCTACTCTTTTTCAAGAGCCAGTAGAAGTAGTTTATGATACTCATCAACGAGTTTGATGTTGTTGACAAGATTCATTGTTCCAAACGTGTGGGAAGCGAGTTCTAGTGAGTCGAGAAATCCATCCGCGCTTGCTTCTTGGATGACGTTCAATAGTTCTTTCAACATGTTCCTAAAAGCGGGAAAAAACAACTCTTAARCCTTTGGTAAAATAGATGATGCGCGCGCGTGCTGTGTGTAGTTATAAAGCACGCDGGGATTGGCAGAACACAAGAGAAGTGTTAGTAGAAGCATGACGCGCGCCGAAGACACTGCGGCTGCTCTGAAGCTGGAAATTGAAAATAGGTGCCCATACTATGAATGATACAACGTACCTTGTGATTTCCACATCAACTATTCTTCGTCTTAACTTGAGCCTGCAATCCTGACACCCATCACAACCACGTGACTTGTACATCTCGACGCACATTTGAACTAGTTTCTTCAGGGGCACATACTCCATGTTCATCTTATGGATYCCACACGCGAGAACCTGCGCCTCGCGCTCACATACCCGGGACAAGATAGTAGGATGTGATCGGTTGGACGTGGTGATTCCATTGGTGTCTAGCAGCATCCTCCCTGAGGTCTTTGCCTGGCGTACGTATGAGATCATCTCAACACGGGTCAAAGTCTCAGGTGGCTCTGTCCTACGCTTAAGCTCACCCCTTGTGATGTCATACTTTGTCTCACGGTAACCAGGCAACGAAAACAACCCGTTGACGTGACAAATGACGTCATCGTCATCTGGTTCTCTCTCTCCCAAAGCGAGTAATGATGCCTGGGTGAACCGCCCTTCATTTTCAACGTGCATTCGTGGACTGCTCTCCTGTGAGATGTGTCCATTTTCATACGATTGTTTATCGTTTTCTTGCGGAAAATCCTGGTTTTGTCCGTTCTCTATGCTTTCGTTGTCCCTAGAATCCGTGGATGAAGGGGAAAAGGACTGAGAACCGTTCTTTGCGGCATGCGGTTGATCATCCCGTCTGTAGAGATCGTTGACATCTCTCGACTGCTCGTGTTCCGAACGGGGACGCTTTTCCTTCGGCGAGTACTGCCAGTGATTATTGTCATCATTATTATCATTGTATTCATCAGCATCATCAATATAAGCCCGCCGAGATCTCTTATGGTGACAGCAGTGATGACCACACGATGACATTCGTCGTCTACTGTTGTCGTGACAGCTGTTGTCATAGCAATTATTCTCCCCCGGATGGAATCTCTGGAGGGGATGCATCGGTCTGTGACGGCATGATGACAGGTTGCGACAGCAATCTTCATAGCAAAGATTCGTCCTGCAATCCATAGCAGCGTGCACAGCGGCACGTGCATCTAAACCACGTGTTAAACCACGTGCGTCTAGACCACGTGCGTCTAGACCACGTGCGTCTAGACCACGTGCGTCTTCAACACGTGATTCTATACCATGACCATCGTGATAATGTTGAGACTGCGGTCTTGTACACGCATGCGCAGTAGGTGTCGAATAGCTCTGGTATTCACCTTGGGTTTGTGTTGTAGTTGGAAGATTTTCCAGCAGTTCGCWAGGTGTCTTTCTCCTCTCTGTTGTACCATCAAAGGTACTTCCTGGAAAAGAGTCTATACACGATGAGCGTGATACACTTGGTTTCTCTTGATTAGATTCTGTAACACAAYCATTGAGCAACCCTTTGGATTTTGGAAACTCGACTACTAACCGGGCTCGATTGCCTTGCCCTTGACTCCCATAAGGCTCCATTCCGCTAGGCTTAGGAGTGATGGACTGCTCGGGTACAAGAGTGACAACGTGTRSCTTAGCATCACCTTGATCGACTGGAGTATCAGGCGGAGGAGTGAGAGGCGTATCTCTAATACCATTACAATGAGGTATCAGTGGTCTGCCAGCACGTGTTATTATCCTGCCCTCTCGATGGCGTCGCTCGCGAATCTCGTTATACTGCATGAAGATAGTTTCTTCTTGAGTGGACTGGAGTTTACCAAGAGTTGGTCTCTTTCGGTGTCGGTATCTCTGGACTTGTTTCCATAGCGACTCCTCTTCTTTATCATCTTCCGCAGAGTTGAGTCTCTCTGAGTTCTTCCCACGTCTTCTGCCAAAAACTACTYGTTCTGCGTTAAGATTGACGTCGCTTGAATGTTTGGGATCTTTAGGCGAGGAACTTCCTTCGTGACTTTGACTGCTTGCACCAAGCGGGCTGGGTTTCCGTGTCGGAGAACTACGCGCCGAAGTAGAGACATTCTCTTCGTATTTTGCTTCCTCATACAACTGACTTTGATTCATTAACGGGCTTTTACTTCTCTCATCTCTTTCCTCTAAKAGATAGCTCTTCGGGCTTGGAGAGCGGCCGCTGCTAATCGATCGATAGTCGATCGGAGGTGAGCGTATTGGATAGACAATGGGAACTCGATATGGATAGGTTTCGATGTTTTTTTCAGATGGGAATCTGGATCGATTTATGGTAGCTTTGCTTTCGTCATTTTCTGTACATGTTCTGCCATCGTCTTGCACTCGTGGTAAGCTGACGAAAGCTATTGAGCCCCGTGCACTAGTGATTCTAGCGCTTTCACTTCTCTGCTCTAGTAAACTGTGATCATAATGATGAAAACCATTAGCTTCCCTAATGGGACTGTATCTTTGACTTCCTTCAGCTAACCTCTCTTCCTCATCAATTCTTTCTTTCTTGACAATCCTTAGATCTATCGCCGACATGTCCTCTGGTGCTCTCGTCCCATCTGGAGAAACATCTGCAAAACAATCAAAAGCGTCAACTCGACAAATAATTCCAATCTTTCCACAGACTCACCCTGCGGGCATTGCCCAAGTGATTACTCTTCTCTCTGCTATCTTACAAGCATTTCACTAGTAATTAGGTTAATTGGTACAAAGACGGGTCGGCGAGTATCGGAATTTCTCAGATATTTTCCCGATCGCTTCCACTTAATTAATAGCATTAGGTCTGATCGCTGCCTGTCTAGTAATCTCCCCARAGAATCATCATTTACTCGTAATTACTTGTATCGCTCTCTATCACGTCTCGTCATGTCTCACGTCTCACTAGCCGCAGCCAATTTTCACCGTRGACAAATACAGAAGATGCCACGGCTTTGTCGACTATCAAGTCGAACAGAAAAATCTGTCAATACTTTCAATCGCTGATGACCGCTACACAGTATCTTTATACGAGTGGTTAACCAGAAACACTATCTTTGTCTCCTTCCTTTGGGTTSTTATCTTGAATAACTTTTATGGTTGAAAACCCACTGTGAAGTCACCTAAAACGTCAGTTATTGCAAGCGGYGTCGGTCTTAGCGCGTGCATCCGCTAAAAATTTCGTATGCCAATCTACAAGAACAGCCGTTTTCCCGATAAGTTTTGTTTTCCCTTTTTTTCTCTTCTTTTTGCGCGCGAAGACGCGAAGCAATTTTACAAGTTTTTTTCTTGACTAATTTTTTTCTCGTTCAAAAGTTAGCGACGTTGAGAKGAAGATTAACTTACTCTTGCAGATCATTTTCAGTCGCCTTTCTTTTTCCCCCAGTAGCTTTAATTTATTTTCCATGACAATCGCYAAGACAGAACAAAACTCGCGGATACATTCAAAGGAGCCTTGCCAGACCGTTTTGTGAACAGTAGAATTCGTCTCTAAAGCATCCGGCATTTCTTTTTAAAAGTTGAGGTTTAATTATATACAAAGCTTAAATTTTATCGAATAATAATCCTGAAATAATTACTGGRTGATCTAAGACAGGGCASGACTAACTCGTAGTTTTACTGAGGAAGGGAAAACTAGAGAATCTAGAGGAAAACCAGAGATTCCAGAGAGAGACGAAAGAACTTTTGCTTTTGGACTTTGCGGCAGTAATTTAGCAGCATAATTTGTAAACTTCAAATTTTTTTATCGACAGTTTTCGAGTATTAATGAACATTATTCTCATTAAATTGATTATAAAACAAAACATCGTAGTGTAATAAAAAGTATACAGAAAAAAGCTTTATTACTAAGATATTTCGATTGCCATTCCTCATACAGTTTGCCAAAAATTATCAGTCATCTTAAACCAGAAAAATAGCCGAATTGAAATATTCTGACTTAATTTAGTTAATAATTCGATTCTAGTTTAATTATAGTCTCAAAATATACATAACAGGGCTACCAACTTCGCATATTTGGGAACCAATAAACCAAACTGAAAAAGTCGCACCATTTCCAGCTGAATTTTTGAAGTTCATCAAATCTACTGAGATTTTTCTTAGAAATTCTCTTCCTTTGTCTTTATTTTATTCGTCTCTAGGCTAGAACAAAATATTTTTCACATACTTTGAATTACAGTATCTGGTATTATAGCCCAAAATGGTTCACTAATGACTTAATCGTATAAGATCATTTTCCTACTGTACCGCCCATAAGCCATTGCTTATTGGACCGGTCGGTGGCGGCTTTTAGCTATTCCTTCAGCTCTTGTAACAGATATCAATACAACACCGCACGCGTATGGTTTTGATTACTAGCTCATATTACTTATCTCGGRTAATCATTAGACAGAATAAACGATGAACCCTTGCAGCTGAGCCGGGTTGACTCTTTACTTATCATTTCTAGGGCTTGAAATAACCAATTCCAGGTTTCCAAAATGAAAAATAATATCTTTTTCTTCGAGTTCAAAGACTATAAACGTTTTAGGCGTTTTGAAGAATATTTCTCATAAATTGTTGCATTAATTTTATTTTTCTCTTGTTTGTCTTTCTTTCTTGGTTTTTCTCCTTCTTTCCTTTCCTTCTTTTCCTCTCTCTTTTCCTTCTGCTTTCCCTTCTCTTTCTCCGTTTCCTAGCTACTTCCCCTCTTTGATTTGCTAACTGCTAAAAAAGTATTTCAAACGTTTCCAGCAGTCATTTTCTACTGATAACTTTTTTAAGGAMAAAAAAAAACAAAAAAAAAAAACACTAGTTGAAATAAAAATATAGTCAATAGTTTAGGTGTGATTCGAAGCTAACTGCTTTCCTAAAACTTCTTTCAAACAAAAACAATTCTAAATAGACAATTTTAGCGATACGGCGGTCGTCTCTAGAATTCTATCATTTCAATTAAGGCATTATATAGGATGCCAAAGGGGCAACTATTGGAAAGTTTATAGACTACACAGCTGTCAAGGTGTCTTTCTATAAAGCCTCAAGTTTTTCAATGAGAAGCACATTGGTTTTTTCAATGAGAAGCACATTGAAAAAGCAATTGAATTTGCTGCTAGTCGTAACAATGCAAAACACTTTACTGCGGTTTTCCATATTCTGAGAACTCGGTAAATGCGAACTGCAAGCTATGAATTGGTTTTTCGCTGCCTTCAATCAAAAATAACCAGTTGGTACCTTTTATTTTCTTTGCTGGCAGCAGAAATAAACCAAATTCACAACAAGCCGTTGAAATGTCTGAGCTCGCAGAATATGGAAAATCGCAGTAAATTGTTTGAAATCGTAATCCCGCCACTCTGTGCTTTATAATTTTCCTTCATTTGCCTCCATTGGATCATATACTTCAAGATGGCCGCCGCTTTGCTAAAAAAAGTTCAATAATTAGTGACGAGAAACTAAGAAAGGAAAGGAAAAATATCCACGTATGTTTGCCAACAGTAACGTTACGTTCGAGGAGAGGACTACAACTACTATTAAAAACTTTGACTTCAGTGTGCCTTGGAACAAAGACAATCTAAGCCAWTATATCCTATATAGTTTCATCTATACTTTTATAAAAATGGTTTAAATAARCTTAGACGAAAATTTGGAATTCTACGATTTTGCTTTCTGAGGTTTACTATCCGTTTATGGTGAGCTTGAAAACGCAGGCACTGACCAGAGACCGTGTTAATAGTACTGTAGACTACACAGAGACGGTGCCGAGAAATGCTTATAAATCATTAACTAGTGGTGTTTAACCCTAAAATTTACATTAGAGTGCAAACAATTAATCCGTGAAACACTTATTACTAAATAGTACAAAATAGTGCTGATTAAACAATAGAAAACAATGGAATTTGCATGAAATTGTGCTATTTAGTATTACTAAAGTTTCACGGTTATATTGTTTGCACTCTACTTTGACCACCACTGCCGCTTAATCAATTCACGTTTGCAGTCATCATATATTTGTTTTTCCTTTCTCCAGTAATTTTCAATAGTGATTTTCCGTATCATCACCCTATAATCCCATTTAAGCAGCTATTGTATTATTTTCAAATTCTCTTTCCTGCCCAAATTAAAGATTAATTTGGATGGTTCCATTTGCATTCTTTCGAGGGAAAACTATGACTTATGGAATCAGTCTTGTATAGTTTAGGATGATATAATTAATCTGCAATAGGACTACTTGTCTGTCCAATTTGGAAATAATTGAATTCAAAAAAGTCCTCTGACTGCCAAATTGGACTCGGCCAGTCGGCCTCTTCCAATTTTGTCAGTCCTCGGAATTTTTTTCATCCAATTATTTCCAAATTGGACAGCACGTAGTCCTATTACCTGTACTTATTAAGTCTATACAGTATTTGCTTTACTCTGAGTTCCCCTTGCTTGGCAATAAAAGTACTAGTAGGAGCAGGCGTAGCTCAGTTGGTTAGTGCGCGACCTTCAGAGCTTATTCGATCCTTAGGATCTCCACGTCTGTTTCGACTTCTCTCTAATCCATGTAAAACAGAGCACTGATGGAGAGAGGGGGTAAAGTGCGCACCGTCGGCTTCCATTGATAGCAGTTGAATTTCAAGTGAAGAAACTACCGACGTTAAATATAGGTACTTCACCTTTTTACCTTTTAGTAAATGAGCTAACTTGAACTGTATAGGTATATCCTGATAGCTACCATTTCAAAACGGTTGTCATGTGAAAACTGAATACCGCATAGTGAATTGCAGATCGAGTTGTGAATCCAATTCATTCAGGCTAAATATGAAAAGGGAGTATCAAAGAGCATGGAATAAAGAGAACTAGCGATCGAGTACTATAGTTTGAGCTGCGTCGGTGTATAATGAATGGAATATGATGGTTATAGGTAAGCTGAACACCGTGGAATAAAAAGAGAACTAGCGAGTAAACTAGTTTGAGCTGTGTCGTTGTATAATTCATAGAATATGATGGGATATATGTAAGCTGAACACCGTGGAATAAAAAGAAAATTAGGGAGTAAACTAGTTTGAGCTGCATCGGTGTATAATGCATACAATATGATGGGTTATAGGTAAGCTGAACACCGTGGAATAAAAAGAGAACTAGCGAGTAAACTAGTTTGAGCTGCATCGGTGTATAATACATATAATATGATGGGTTATAGGTAAGCTGAACACCGTGGAATAAAAAGAGAACTAGAGAGTAAACTAGTTTGAGCTGCATCGGTGTATAATACATATAATATGATGGGTTATAGGTAAGCTGAACACCGTGGAATAAAAAGAAAACCTTTGGAATGCAAGTAGACAAGAGATTGAAAAACAACTCACTAGCTTTTTGACTTGACTCACATCACCTAGAAACGCCGCCTGTAGTGGTACACCTTTTTTCTTACAATCGTTTTAAATGGCGGCTTCACGATCTTYATAGCATGCTATACTATACTTCTACTTCAAAACATATCCCGCAGAAAAATTAAGAAAAGAAAATTTGGTACATAGAGTAAGAGTCCGGGTATTGGGAAGCCAAGTTTAGTCGAAAGTGAAAGTCGCAAAAACACCATAACCAGAAAAATTACCTTAATTTAGATTTTTGTATCCGATGCTAATATAGTGTGAAAATGATACAAGTGATTTGAAAAGAAAACCTTTGTTTTTCTATGTCATTTCCTGATGGTCTTTTCTCTGTCCTATATACAAAAATCCAGATCAAAATATCGCTTCGTGCCAAACCTTTCTTGACACTGATTTTGTTAATGGCAAAAAGATGTTTGACGCTGTAGAAAAGTGGTAAAGTAGATAAACCATCTGTGAATCATTATCATGACTTATGGCCATTCTTGTGCCGATATTACAATTTTATGATATTTTATTATTTGTATGGCACAAATTCACTCGCATGTGGATATGATCTAATATGAGTACTGACTTCAAACGTCAATAGCTCAATAGCTTGATATTTTATAGTAACTATTCCGATTCAAATGAATAGATAGGTGTTTGAACTAAAACAATTAACCCCATAAAACAGCCGGGCTATTTTCACAGCATTTCCAATCAAAACATTTCTCCGATAAACTTTCATTTTCACGAAGTTTCTTGTTACATCATGTTCAGTCTTCACAACTCGCGGTTCAATTATTTTCGATAAACATTTCTTAGCCTAAAGCAATAACTCTATATGTGGTCTCCTATAACCTGTCTATCAGGCGAGCAAAATATATTAATTATATTGTTTAATTAAAATATCATTAAGGATCTGGGGGGGGCGTAGCAAAACGATGGGGATCTGGGGGAGGAGGGGGGGCTTTGGACACTGCAATACCCCTAGGGTCTTTCAAGAATCTTTTGTAATAGATCTTACCAATATCGATTTCGAAACTCCCCTCCCCCTCCCCCTCCCCCTTGCAGAATTCGCCCTTATTATGCTATTTATGAGTCCACCCAAAATGATACCAGTAGCAGTAGCAAAATACGTCCACAACTGCTTTATAAAAAAAACACATACAATACAGAATTAATATAGAATGTGGTCTTCTTACCCAAACTAGGCACTAAATAGTAACTTTCCTAGATAGGTTAAATAGGTGAATCTATTATAACATAAGAGAAATTACTATAAATCAACAATTATAGCCTTCATACATTTATTCGGGTGAAATGTCTGTATATACAAACACTTGATATCGAATAAAAAAAGTCTGTCTGACTGTCTATGGAAAAGCTAATAATTCGAATTGTCTACGTCCATACTTCCAAGACATTTTACTGAACTGCTTTGACAAAAAGATATTGACTAATTAATATATTGTATAGTCCCAGCCGTAAAAATTGTTGACAACACTCAAATTCTAGCCTTTGAACGGTAAAATTACTTGACTCGTTGTCGATTATTATTTACAGCCATTGTCGGGTATTTATTCATATTACGAACAAATATTAACTCTGTACGGCCCCCACCGTATAAATTGTTCAAACCCGCACTAGCGTTGGTCTAACCTAATCTTAACTGTAAGACCCAGCTAGTTAAGGGGACTTATATCTGTTGCATATCTATTCCACTACAAATAGAGTTTTCCTAGAAGGGATTTTTATAACCCTTCTCCACTCCGTGATATAAATAGCACTAGCGTCGTTGAATTGCCTCTGGTGGTACTATAGTTGGTAAACATGAATAGACTCTCGAAGTATGACAAACAAATACTCGTAAAATAACTTCAAAATGCTAATATATATAATATATATGATTTCAGTATACAAAATCTTCATCCTTCATCCTTCAATTATAAAATAAAATCCCCTAAAGTGACTTCTTTTTAGCAGATGAATTATGAGTTTTGATAGTAGAATTGCAATTCCTAAACATGAGAGGAAGTAGATTCACTCAAGTAAAGTCACGTTACTTGGCAACTCTTTGACGACCGCCATATTATCTACCGTCTAGTTTCATTATTGGTTTAGGTTACATTACTTCAGTCGTAAATACCCTTAAGTAAGAAAAACAAAACAATATATAAAACTTAATCTGCTTTGCACGAGTTGTTTTCGTCCAATTTCTCGACTCAAGCCCTTGAGCTGGTATGATAATATATTCAATATTTTTATTCAAACAAATTTTTTCACCTTAGGAAGATTTCAGAAAAAAGGAAAAAAAATCGCACATTTAATATCACAATCCTTACAAAATATTACTATCCCAGTAATTTGTGTGTGAATGAAAAACCATTACTATCATACTGCTGGCTATATACCGTCATAGCCATACCATGCCGTAAACGAGTRCCAATTTCAATCTCTTTTCTCTTTTCTGCCTAGCCTCTATAATATTACAGCGAGGGTCCGTGAACACTTCGATTTAAAACAAGATGCGTACTGTAAATCATCCCTTGAGCTGGAATTAAGATTTATTTTGATCACTTGGTGTATTTGAACCCATAGCTTCATTTAAGAGGTTTYGAAACWRYAMAA